TAAACTTTCTGAAAACCTGACTTCCTTAAGTATCTTCACTTTAAAAATAAAACAGTTTCTTTGAAAATATCACACATTACCCTCCCTTTTCTGAGCAGCACTAATTTTGCTGCGCAGTAAACAGCGTAAATATTAGCCATGAAAAGCTTACTCACTTGAACAGAACGGCGTCTTCTGCGACTGTTTCGCAAGCTTTCAAATCACCAAAACTTTCATCTTAAAGCTGAAATGTTCAGGTTTCATTCGAAATATTTCGTTTACCGAGAACTGAAAAGGGCGCCTCAAAAATTGAGTTTTTGTTTCAAGTGTCCGGATACTGGTACCGTCCCGATACTGGGCAAGTCATACAGTACAACTTTATGGAATAGATATATTTTTAGAAATTTATCTGGTGTATTTTAGCTTTTAGTTTGATGTATTTTTTATGATTACCCATCGTTGCCTGTTTAACTGGGTTACACACAATAATGTCATCAGATTTTGCGTTTTTGCTTGGGTTAATTGCTTCAGTAAACTGCTAAAGACAAATTTAGCATAAACACTTTGTTTTTAAATTACACTATTCAACTTACCAGAGCATGTTCTTCCATTACCCGAGTATCCTGGTTTGCAAGCGCATGTGTAAGAACCCAGAGTATTGCCGCACACCGCATTTACGTCACAGCTATGAGAGTTGGTAGAACATTCGTTGATGTCTAAAAGAATAAAAAGAAGATGAATGAAGTTACTCTACCACAAGTAATTAACGCACTGGTCTTCGTTTAAAGAGTTTGATTGTATAATTCAAACGTAAAACTGTGAAATAAATACGTTACAAGGAAAAAAATATGTCTTCACATAAAATAAACTATGTTTACAACTTTATCGAATAGATTTATTTTTAGAAATTCATCTGGTGTATTTAGGTTTTTATAATTAGTTTATGTACACCCATCGTTGCCTGTTTAACTGGGTTACATACAATAGTGTCATCAGATTTTGTGAGTTTTTGCGTGGGGTAATTGCTTCATATACTGCTAAAGACAAATTCAGCATAAACACTTTGCTTTTAAATTACACTGTTCAACTTACCAGAGCATGTTCTTCCATTACCCGAGTATCCTGATTTGCAAGCGCATGTGTAAGAACCCAGAGTATTACCGCACACCGCATTTACGTCACAGCTATGAGAGTTGGTAGAACATTCGTTGATGTCTAAAAGAAAAAAAAGATGAATGAAGTTACTCTACAACAAGTAATTAACGCACTGGTCTTCATTGAAAAAGAGTTTGATTGTATAATTCAAACGCAAAACTGTGAAATAAATACGTCACAAGAAAGAAAAATTATGTCTTCACATAAAATAAACTATATTTACAAATTTATCGAGTAGATATATTTAGCCCAGGGGCTGCCGTAACAGTGGGTGGGTGGATCAGGCCTTGGGGTCAAAACTAGTGGGGTAGGAAGGGGGCTGTTTTGGTAAGCAGCAGTGATCAGTAGAGGCTTTGACTGGCAAATACCCGGTTCTTAATTTGCCCTAGCCAGCTGAATCAGGCCTCTGCTGAGAATGATTATCATGACAATTGCAGAGCTCGAAGGGCGGCGCAGATAGTCACCTATTGTCCCTGGTGGGGTGGGTCAAAGTCTTTGTACCAAGGACAGACTTAGCATAGGACTTGTAGACACTCACTGAAGCGATGGTTTCATAAATTCAGTCAGATGTATAAATCTTTATTTATACAAGGAAAATCATTAGTTAAGCTTAAGTTTAAAACTAAAACTAATTACAACTGCTTTACATGATTGCCGTGTACCATCTTGGTATTTCGTTTAAAATGTTTAACAGATGCAGCATTTTTAAGCTTTTGGCATGTTATTCCATAACAGGGCCCCGCTGTAAGAGAAGCTTCGTTTCAAATAATTGGTGCTTGGTTTTGACTGACGTTTCGACAACCTGTGCGGTAGTCATCTTCAGAGTCAAAGTGAGTTGTATCACACACTTTGACTCTTAAGATGACTACCGCACAGGCTGTCGAAACGTCAGTCACTGTCAACAACAACAGTCCTATTCAGGACTACGTTCACCCGGACGATTAAACTCAACCTACTTTTGAAATGACTCCTGGGTTCAAACCTTTCACACAATACAATAAGTAGATAAAATAATATATAGATTTAGCCAGGGCTAAAAGCGAAGCCTCCATTTCTATACTTATGGTAAAACAGTCAAGAAGTAATAACATGAACTCTAAGCCAAAAAAAAAGAAATATTCACATTCCTAAGAGCCTTTCGCATCAGACACCCTTAGAAGGAGGGGCTAAATGATTAAGAAAAAATATCCCACAAACAAACCTCAATTGAAAAATAAATAAACACATATCATTGGAAAAATGAGCTTGACCTTGCGATCATTTGAAACTGGCAATTTGTCAGAGGATAACTTCAAAAAATGCTCGACACTTGAGCCCGCGGTACGGACAGGTGATACTGGTCCGCATACCCTGTTTTGACAGTTGTCAATTGGTCACAATATTGATGTGCAATTAGTTTCCTCTTGGGCTCCCAAACTACAGCTGTAGCTAGAAAGTGTGAGAGTAAACATTGGTTTCCCTGTGGTGCGGGCGGACGGTCGGCGGGTGGTCGGTGTACGGTCACGTGATTACCAAATTTTCTGGGATGGGTAGATTTTCTTAGCTATGGAGCTAAACGCCGCGCGTGGAGTGACGCTATAATCTAGAAATTTTTACCAAATCAGCAGTGATTGAAATAGAGAGGAGAAGTGTGACGTCACGTTACTATGGCTGGATCACAACAATTGGGAGCTTAACCAACGTCGACGGCGACGGCAACGAGAACGGCAAAAAAGCAATAGGTTTTTATTAGCAAAACAACAACTCCGCACGTGCATCATGCTTCTGTACATTTCTTAGCCGTCGCTTCACGACTGCGACAATGACACGAAACTTCCTACTTTTTATGCGCCCGATTCAGTGGAGTAGGTAAACACAACACAAAAATTGTCTTTTACTAAACGTAGATACGGTCCTTTTGGATTCACCCCCAGAATATTTCGCCAATATTTGACAAAAAATGAAATTGAATAAGATCGATGAAGTTTGAAACAGTGCGAATTCACTTTTTAAGTGATATTTTCGGTTTGTCGTCATCCAGAAAAATTGCTATCATGGCAACGTGACGTAACGACTTCTCCTCTCTATTGGTATAATCCTCAAAACAATTTGCTTCATAACATTATTGACCTGTCGTTTTTCCCACCTGCACTCTTGGACATAATAAAATAGAACAGCAAACCCCCATCCCCCCAAGTCAAGGATGAATCCGCGCGAAAGCCGAAACGCGCCATTTTCCCATCCTTGATTTAGGGGAGGGAGGATCCAAATTTTCTGTCTGTTTTATAGATCCAAGATTGTGGCTTAGAACATTTTCTATCTCAGTTAATCCTTGTCACCAACTAATAAAATCAAGTACGAAAATATAATGTTCCTAACCTTTACACAGTGGAACCCAACCATCCCATTTACCATCGTTGCACGTAATGGAGGCAGCCCCGACTCTTTGATATCCGCTATAGCAGTAAAACCTTACAGAGCGCCCGTGTCTGAAATCTCGATCCATCTTCAAGCCATGTTTTGGCTCTGTGGGTTCAGCGCATGGTGCTATGGAGGTCAATACAGAAGTCCAATGTTATTGCGTTCGAGGTACGAGAACGCAACCCCGAATTTCTGTTGGGTGTTCTGTGCATTATTGGGTGTCCTGTGCAATTAACAACCGAGGTGTTTTGAGATTGCATTTGTGTCGACACACATTTGCCTCGCTTTGAGGCGCTTGCTTACGTTTTGCCTTACTTTGGCGCACTAGTCGTGTGTCCTCGGTGTTCATCTTTTACATGTTTGCTGAGGTCTGCTATTCTGTCTTCGTAAAGCGTTCATCTTATAAAAGTTTGCTGAATCTTCGTAAGGCGTACATAGTTCAAGAGTTTTCTGGAGGTCTACTATCGATCTGTGTTTGCTGAATCTTCCAAAGCTTTCATCTTTCAAAAGTTTCGGCGGCCCTTGTGCCACGAAGTAAATCTACCGACCTGTGTAGCTGGCGGCCTTTCTTGAAGAAATTCATTAGGCTAGTGAAGGTAAACAGTCGATTTTAATGTTCTTAAATCATAGCCAGTCTTAACGTCTTATTGATGCTGACATGTTTCGATGACTGTCAGCCATCTTTATCAAAACTTGAAAAACATGAAAAGTGTCAGAAGCCTTAAATAGGCTTCTGAAGGTGTTAATTATTGCGATAAACGCGCAAAGTCACTCTGTAGACGCCCCCTTCCCCCCCTGGTTTGGGAGTGGAGATCACTTGTGTCCATGTGGGAGAAAGCTGATAGGCTCCCTCGTCTCTGTTCATAGTAGGAGTGTTCGATCTAATTCATAAGCATTCCTTAATCCATCGCTTAAACTTGTCGCTTTCCTGCTCAACTATTTCACTTGCTTCCCAATTCATAATATGATTGTTGTGACAGACGTGGTCTGTTATGGTTCATTGGTAGAAGCTCTGCGGTTGGATTTTGTGAAATTTCTGTCAGAGATCTTTTCTGCTTCCTTTCTGTGTTCTGTGATCCTGGTTCCCAGCTGTCTCCCTGTTTCACCGATACATACCTTTTCGCATTGGTTGCACGGAATTTTGTACACCACTCCAGCCTTTTGTGCTTCTCAACTTTGTCCTTCGGGTGAACTAAAACCTGTCTGAGGGTGGTTAGAGGTTTAACCACTGTGGCTACCCTGTGTTTAGTGAATATACGTTGTATTTTCTCCGTGAATGAATGGACATATGGGACAGTCACCACTCCTCTTGATTTTCCTTGTGCTTTATCTTTCTTGGATTTATCTTTTCTAATAGCTTTCTTTCTGTTAATTTGCTCTTTGACCTTCTTTATCGCCCAATCCGGGTAACCACATGTATGGAGTGCTGTTCTTATGTGTTCTTCCTCTTGTTTACGGTCTTCTACTTACGTGACAATGCTGTCACTTCTTTCCAATAACGTCCGTATGACAGCAAGTTTGTTCGGAAGTGGATGATGCGATTGAAACGACAGGTACTGGTCTGTGTGTGTGGCTTTCCTATAAACCAGTGGTTTGATGGATCCGTCCTCCCTCCTGGTGATAAGGGTGTCCAGAAATGGGATCTGGCCATTTTTCTCTAGTTCGTGCGTGAATTTGATGCTGTTTGTTTTGTCTATTCCGTTGAGATGATCTGTCAGAGCCTCCACCTTTCCCCTCTTAATGATTTCTAGGATGTCATCCACATATCGTTTCCATAGCTCAGGTTTACAGTCTATGGGAGCAGTGGCGATGGCCTGTTGTTCTAGCCATTCCATAAAGAAGTTAGCCAGGATCGGGGATACTGGGCTGCCCATGGCTGTGCCGAACTTCTGTTTGAATAATTGTCCTCTAAAACTGAAGTATGTGGTGGTGGCAATAAATTCTGTTAGATCCATTATATCATCAACCTCTAGGTTTTTTCTTTTCTTTAGATCTTGATCTTGATCTAGGCGTTCTCTTATGATGGTTAATGTCTCCTGTATAGGGATCTTGGTAAATAGTGACACAACATCGTGGGAGTTGAAGATGTCTTCTTGTTCTAATGTGACTAAGGATAATTCTTCAGCAAGCTCTTTGGAATTTTTGACATGATGTTTCGTAGTGCCGACCAGAGGTCCCAGGAGGTCAGCTAGGGCTCTAGATGTATTGTAACCAATTGATCCTGTGTAATCCACAATAGGTCTCAGAGGGTTGTTAGCCTTGTGGATTTTTGGTGTGCAGTACAATCTGGGTGTTGCTTCAGATGTAGGGTACAAGTATTTGTACTGATCTTCCGTTATCTTGCCATCCTTTTTTAGCTTAGTCAGTTTTTCGATCAGCTTTCTCTTATAAGAACTGGTTGGATCGGCCTGCAATTTCTCATAAGTGTGAGCGTCATTCAACATGGTGTTGACTTTTTCCTCACACTCGGTCTAATCCATGACTACTGTGGCTCTTCCCTTGTCTGTTGGCAGTATCATGATGGAATCCTCCTGTTTCAGTGACCGAAGGGCCGTTTTTTCCCCTTTAGAAATGTTGCTCTTCGGGACCTTTGATGACTTGATCGCTCCGACTGTTTCTGTTCTCAGTTGGGTTGCTTCGTTGGTAGGGAGCGACTTGCATGCCAGTTCCGTAGCTACTATGATGGCGTTTGTGGGAATGCGGTGTGGTGTTATTGCAAAATTTAAACTTTTCGACAGAACACTAGTTTGATCCTGGTTAAGTTTGTATTTGGAAAGATTGACAACCCACCGTTTTATCTGTGTACCACTAAGGTCTGGTTCAGAAGGATTATTTTTGTTCGACTTTGAGATTAAGTTTGCAAGCTTATCTTGCTGTTTGCATTTTGCTTGTTTATGCACACTCTCATGAACTCTTGTTAGGTGCGTGTTTAATTGTTGTTGGACGTCGCTTGGGAATCGCTCCGCTAAACGTCGCTTCTTGTCTTGTAGATGACTTATTTTCTGGTTTGTTAGCCGAATCCTCTCTCGAAGAAGGTTCTTTCTGGCTTTCTCTACAATGTTTCTTGCTTTGACGGAATTAATAGGGCACTTTAAACGGAGGCTTGTAGGAATGACACATTCGTCTTTACATCTTAGGTTGATCTCCACCCCCAAACCAGGGGGGGGGGGGGGGGGGGGGGGGGGGGGTGAAGGGGGCGTCTACAGAGTGACTTTGCGCGTTTATCGCAATAATTAACACCTTCAGAAGCCTATTTAAGGCTTCTGACACTTTTCATGTTTTTCAAGTTTTGATAAACATGGCTGACAGTCATCGAAACTGTCAGCATCAATAAGACGTTAAGACTGGCTATGATTTAAGAACATTTAAATCGACTGGCGGCCTTTATTTCCCAAAGTAAATCTGCCGAGATGTGAAGCTCTGCGGCGCCATTTCATCATGACTTGTGATATTTTCAGCACTGGACAAACGAACATTTTAGGTCTATGTTATTTATTCGGAAAAACTTATAAACAGCCCACAGTAGCTCCACTCAAGTCACTGAAATCAACACACTCGACTAAATTACTGCACTTGTTGAGAAGAACCATACAATAACACTAGCCCTCAACACTTTTTCATAATCATACACAGTTTAAATAGAGGTTTCGCTGTAAGCAATCCTTTATACGTTTAAAATATGCCATGATCAAATTAATCTATCACAACAACCACCCACCCTTCCCTCTCAACTGCTACCTGTAGGCCTAACAAACATATCAAACGCACTCTCCTAACTTCCGATTACTTCTAGTACACAATCAACTGTCTTTATTGCAGACACCATGGGGAGCGCCAGGTAATGTACTTAATAAAGAACGTTTTAAATAACGGGATGCAAGGAGAATTTTCTCAATTTTTGCATAAGATTGGTAACATGTATTTACATTTTCTGCATTTTCCATTGAGGCGAAGAAAAACCGTCGTAAATCCAGCCAAAACGACTTCAATGAAATATTTTAAAAATACTATGAAATGTTTTATAAGTGTGTATGAATGATGGAGATTGGCAGTTCGGTGCTCTTTTTCGCAAGTGTTTGAACGATAAAATTGTGATGTTGAGAATCTGACAATGAGTATGTTTCGCTCAATCGTTATTAGCTTTGCCGGGGATTCGGCTGCCTTCTGGCTGCCCTCTGTATTATCGAGATGTCGGAAATAGCGAGGTGTCCGCAAGGTGAGAAATGACTATTCTTTTAAATGATACTGATAATGATAATGATAGAAAGAAGGATTAGAATAAGGAATATTTCAACAGGATCTAAGAAAACCGACAAAACCTATCTGTGTATAAAAACTGTTATCAATGGGGTCCTGTAAACGTTACGTAGATTACCTAATTGCTTTCTTAAATAAAAGTCTAACCTGCGATCAGGCAGTCATTCTTCCCTTTTTGTTTGGAAGACGAGGGGAAGGGGACGCCGGATTTATTTACTTTACGCGTTGTCTGCCCGTAGTCCAAAATCTGGACTTTTGTCTGATTGGTCGGAAAACAAAAGATCCTTCGGAGCGCTACGCCCACCGGTCAGGTAACATATCTGATTTCCGGAGCTATTACGTAGGTTTTGTCACCTTATGGTCACCTTCGTCTCTTCATGACAGAAACCACAAGATGACACTGAAGAGAAAACCCTTGACAGCTGAGATGAGGACGAGTTGTTATCTGCTGCGGCCGGTAAGGATATGTGCTATTTCTTCTTCGATGCTTTCTAGCTCCTACTGGGCAGAATTGTTGTCTTTGATTTCCGATCGAGTTCAACTTCGTGTAAGTGTGTGAAAAATAACTTATTGACGATTTTAAACCCGCACTTTTGCGAACCGATGAAACTGACCATGAAGACTTTTTGCCGCCGAATCAATTCCTATACTTTTGACTACTTCCAATAAAATACAGAATTCGGTTGCGCCACTATTGTTTTCAATGAGTTATGTTGTTTGACTTTACTAGTACTGTTTGAACTAAGCTACCACACGGTAACGATAAGGCAAGATTCGCAATAACAGCAGTGCTAACTTGGTCTTTAAAATCTGTGATGTTTTCGCTTACGACTACTGTATCAACTTAAAATTCACCGCTTGCCTGTAACGCGGGTAGATAAATATCATTTCGATGGAAACCGCTTGAATTTCCGTTAAAATGCGACACATGACAATAACACAAATGTTGACAGATACCTTAGTTAAGGGGCGGCAGACGACCCGTGAAGTAAATGTATCAGGCGTTCTTCTTTTTCCCTTTCCCCGAAAAAAAAGAAAACGCCTGAAATTAAGCCATAGAAGTCCAATTGAGGGGGCATTAAAAACCTTAGCTCCCGTTCATACTGTTGATAGTAAAAACTCCGCTTTTTTCCATATTCGAGGCGAACTTAAGGTAATTTTTTTATAAAAACCATTGTTTCTTGCAATCATAGAATGATCTAGTCTATAAAATACAATTATAAAGGAAGAGCAAAAGGCAATATTTTGAAGATAGTCAAAGACCAGTTGACCGCTTTTGCGTTTAACTATGATTTGGACTGATGAAAGTTTCAAATTACTGTTCCTAATGATTTTCAAACTTCTTTGTTCGACATTCCTTATTAGAATGTTCCGGGTTTCTTACCAACCAAGAGCACGTGATCCGCAGTATGTAAAAAATTTGTGGTAGAATCATATTATAGTTTGATAGATATATTGTTTCAGCGTATTTTAGCTCGAGGGCGGATTGATCTTAAAAGTGTAACTCATATTTGTATGTAGGTCAATGCCCAGGTTCTTGTAGGAAAACGTATTGTTGGTGCATGTCCCTTTAACAGAGATGTTTAAAGTTCCATTCCTTGAGGGTGGTTCCTTTTGAATTTACGAAAAGCATAGTCTCAGTCTTGCCTTCAATTTTTATCGGTTATCAGTTCGTTTTCTTCTAATCGGTGACATAAATAATTTTGTTAACGTCTTCGTTGAGGTTTCTTTGGATCGTATCAATGTCTTGAGCTGAAGTGTAAAACAGTTGAAAATGAATAAAACAGGCCCCAAAATACTCTCCTGGGAGACACTTGTAAAAAAATGGTTGAGCTTATAGAGGGATTTTACTTACCCCGTGTAATAGGTAGTAGAATACTACGCACTATTATTTACTAATTCCATTGTCTTCTTTTGTTTATTTGTGCTCTTTTGCACTAGTTCTTATTAACTGTTTCACGGTCAAGGGGGTTCAGCGCGATTACGACGGACATCATACTGAAAGTAAGAGAGCAAGCCATTCTGGTCCAGATGAGACATTAATTACCTTTAATTACACATACTGAAAAGCTTCGTCGTAATTTTCATACGCAAATGAGTTCTAGCCAATCAGAGGGGTGAAGGATGTTTTTCATGGAAATTGGAGTGGAATAGTTTTGTATACTCACTTTAGCTGAGAAAAATTGTAGAGAGCCGGTAAAGACAAGAGCAGAAGGATAAAAACAGAATTAACAAGGCGTAAGCTTCATTTGTACTTTTTATCGGTCGGGGGGAGCTATTTTTTCTTCTGTTTACATTCATGCTAGCCAGTTTACTCAAATTCATTCATTTTCATTGTAAATTCAGAAAAAAATCTAACTTTACTTGTATTTCCTGGATTGCCTCACATCCTTACCAAGCGTTACGTGGTCATTTTTTCGGGCTGTCTAGCGGCAAAGCATTCGTTAGCATTTTGGAAAGATTTGAAATAAAAGGCTGGCAAATGGAAAGTGATTTATACGGTATTTTTTATTAATTATAACGTGCTAGATGTTACTCATGTGACAAGCTGCTCTAGCTAAGTCTTAAACTTGTGTTTTTCAACCCTAGTTTAGTCTTTTCAACACCGGTCATTTGTCTGCTGTTTGAATCGTGTCCACTAGAATAAGCATACCTTCTTAACCTGAAACAGCTAAGTGTTATGAAGACGGAAACACTATATAGATGGAGGTAACCAAGTTTTATTGAAAGTGGAAAAATATTTTTAACGAATTTTAAAACTGTTACTGGCCGGTTCAGCTTTCTCGTGATATATAACAATTATTCACCGAAGTGGAGGTGGCTAGTCCTGGATATTTACCGAACTGCGAAGCAGTGAGGTAAATATCCACGACTAGCCACCGACACTGAGGTGAATAATTGTTTTAGTATATACTAAAACAGTGAGATAATTGAGCACAAAAATGACGATTTTTAACTGATCAAATACTGTTGCCAACGATTACAATTTTGGCGCGTAATGACCGGGCGGCCGCGGCCGTCGCTTTTTCTTGCCGACAACTAAAACTTTTGAAGGCATTTGTTTAGCTCTTACGGGGAAATTTCTTTAAAAGGAGTTGTGAATTCTTTTTGTATTTAAAATCATTCTATAAAAAAAGATTATTAAATTTAGTTTTAAGCTTATTTATGAACAACTCAACTAAATAAA